AGTTCCGGCCCCACTCCTGGCTGCCTGAAGCCCACCCCGGGAAGTTCCCGCCCTGCTCCCAGCGCCAGGTGCCCCTCTCCTGGCTGCATAGTTCGTGCTCCGCTCCATGCTGCCTGATGCAAACCCCGGGAAGTTCCCGCTCCGCTCCCAGAGGCCCCGCGCCCCTCTCCTGGCTGCATAGTTTGCACCCTGCTCTCCGCTGCCTGACGCAAACCCCGGGAAGTTCCCGCCCTGCTCCCAGCGGCCCCACGCCCCTCTCCCAGCTGCATAGTTCGCGCAGGGCAAAGGCAGCCCGGGTTCTCTGCCTTTACCCTGCCACCCGGCTCTTGCCTGCCGCCTGGGTTTCTGATCACTGTCAGCGGCAGGCGGCTTCTTCCGTCCTTCCCCTTTCACCTCCCATCATTGTGCCTACATATGCAGATTAACTGCCATCTTTGTTGGTGGTTAACCGCCATCTTTGTTGGCAGTTAATTTGCATGTCGCCCTGATTAGCCAATGGGAAGCGTAGCGGAGATATGGTTAATTACCCTTTTTGTCTTTTATTAGATAGGATATTTTCATTGATTTCAGAAAGGAAGGGAGAGGGAGAGGGAGAGGGAGGGGGATAGGAAGAGTGAGAGTAAAAGGGAGAAAGAGAGAGAGAGAGAGAGATACAAACATCAATGATGAGAGAGAATCATTGTTGGCTGCCTCCTGCACGCCCCACACTAGGGATGGAACCTGCAACCTGGGCATGTATCCTGACCGGGAATTGAACTGTGACCTCCTGGTTCATAGATTGATACTCAACTACTGAGCCACACTAGCTGGGCCTGGCTTTTATATTTTATTTTAATTCTAACAACTCTCTCACTTAGATACCATTATTTTCTCCAATTTACAAATGAAAACTCTCTGGCTTAAAGAGATAAAGTAGCTTGATCAGTGAGACAGAGCTAGTAAGTGGTTGAGTTGAATGAGGTTTGTCTACTACCCAGGATATAAGATCCTGATGGCATTGTTTTTGTCTGTTGATTTAGCACCTAAAACAATACTTGCTAATAGGTGTCTAATAACTTCTAAAAATCAATGAGTATTGAAAAAAATTACATTATACTTTAAAAACAGTAAAGCAGAAAATCATTTGAGTAACTTTGTTGTTCACATGTAAGTGACCAATAATTAAAAATCACTATAAAGAAATTGCTCCAGCAGTCACATCACTATATGGATTAGATAACCTAATGTGTCCAAAGTTTGAATATGATGACAATAATGTTTGTATAAATAGAATTGTGTCTAACTCCTCAGGTTTGGGATTCTTCAGTAAACAATAGTGCATTGTAAGGATTGCTAATGAATGTGTGCTTTACTTCAAGTCTTAGACAATAGAAAATATATACTGAAGTTAAAGCCCTGAAGTTATACTCAAAGAAACAAAGAAAAAACTGATAGTTGTCAGAGGGGAGGGGGATGGATGGATGAAAAAGGTGGAGGGGGATAAGAGGCACAAACTCCAGTTATAAAATAAATAAGCCACGAAGGTATAGTACACAAGCTCAGGGAATATAGTCAATAATAATGTAATACCTTTGCATGCTGACAGATCGTTACTAGACTTAGTGTGATGGTCACGTTGTATATAAACGTTGAGTCACTATATTCTACACCTGAAACTATTTTAATATTGTATGCAAACTATACTTCAATAAAAGCATTTTTTAAAAGAGCTTAAAAAAAGATGAATTTATAGAGGATCATAAGTTGAATGTAATAAAGCAGTGTAGTAGTAGCATTGCATAATCACTTAAGATTCAAAAATGTATAAATTCAAGAATGGCATGAACATTGCACTTGTTGATTTCTTTTTTAGGTGTTTACTTGTTAGATATCTAAATTGGACATTTTAAGAGAAATTAAAGAAATTGAAGGAATCAGAGGAACACCAAAAAGTTTAAAAGTCTTGATACTAAAAGAGCATAAAGGACAAAATTGATTGAAGAGTTGTCCTTAAAAATACTAGGATTTTTTGCAAATGGCACTGATCAACTGTTTCCCATCACATAAAATATTTAAGTGGAACATCAAGCCATTAAGCTATTCACTTTCAGGATGATTGAATATTAGGACAGGTTAATATACTAATAAGAGTCTGTGGCTCCTTCTAATTGGCATTTGACCAGAGGACAATTTTCCTTTTTTGGGTGCTTTGAGTTCAGGCCAATTCAGGTTTGGACAGTAAGCTAGAAGGTCTTTGAGACCCTTTTTGGTTCTAGGGGAAAATGGAGTATATGGTAAAGACTCTACCATTATTCAGCAATGGATCTTAACCTCTTTTAAGTGCACTCATATTTTCTTGTCTTTTGAAAGAAGACCTATTAGGATGTCTCAAAGAGTGATTTATTTTTGTCCTGTAATATGTTTTAGGAAGTAAGGTTTCAGGTAAAACATTATTTCACTTTTTTTTAAAGGTTATTTCAGGATATGAAACAAGCAAGTTCTTCCACGTTATTGAAAGCACTTCCTTTGAAGCTTCAGCAAACAGCTTTTGAAAATGCGTACCTGAAAGCTCAGGAAGGAATGAGAGCAGTGGTAATTTTAGTAATGTGTATTTGCTATTATTGTATACTTTCTATAAACATACCATATATTACTTTACCAACATTGGCCCAAGACAGTTACTATCTAATAGTTTACAGTATAAAGTTAGACTATAGCAGGAAGGGTGGAGGTGGGAAAAGGGTGGGGGTTATGGGAAACATCTGTAATAATGTCAACAATAAAAAAAAGTTAGACTAAAACAACTATGAACTGATTGAAATATTTGTATTTGTTGGTCAGGATTAGTAGAATAATGACAATTTCCTTTGATTCAACTTATATGTAGCATTTTTAAAAAAATATATATTTTATTGATTTTTTTACAAAGAGGAAGGGAGAGGGATAGAGAGTTAGAAACATCGATGAGAGAGAAACATCCATCAGCTGCCTCCCGCTCACCCCCTACTGGGGATGTGCCCACAACCAAGGTACATGTCCTTGACTGGAATCGAACCTGGGACCCTTCAGTCTGCAGGCCGATGCTCCATCCACTGAGACAAACCAATTAGGGCTATATGTAGCATTTTTATTGGAAAACAATTTCCTGAATTTTCTAGGAGTATAAATGGTTTTCTTTTTTATTAAACATTTTTTTTTTTGGTAAGAGCTGGACAAAATCTAGTTCAGAGAACAGGTAACAAAAGGAAGAAATGGATTGAGAAAAATGTTCTAATAAGGAATATCAAATTACCAGGGTGTCCTTTAGTGAACCTCTTGATTTTCATATTTCTCTGTAGAATAATGATTTTTTTCCTTAAAATGAAAATTGTCCTAGGCTTAGAATTTATTCATTTATTTATGCTTTAATTTGTTTGTAAAAGCTATATGAGGCAGTTAACTAAATGACTTTCTAGTCTGTGATAGCACAAGACTGAAAAGGACAGTTGTGTAAAGAATGTGAATTTAGTAAAATATTTCAATAGATTTGAAAAATGAGTTTAAATATTGTAAAATTAATAGAGATAATGTATATCATACATTTTAAAATCAGCCTGTCATGTGCAAAAAGGGAAAATATTGACCTGACAACAATTCCTTTAGATAAAGACCTAAGAAGTTTTACATTTGAGAGCACACTATGAATCAACATTGTAACAGCCTTTCAAAAAAGCAGAGTCTGTCTTTGACATCATTGATAGAAGCATACTGTCATGAACATGTTGATAGAAAGAATTTGATCTTCTATACATTTTATTTTATTTTTTAAATATTTTTTTATTGATTTCAGAGAGGAAGGGAGAAGGAGAGAGAAACATCAGTGATGAGAGAGAACATTGATTGGCTGCTTCCTGCACGCCCCCTGCTGGGAATTGAACCCACAACCTGGGCATGTGCTCATGACTGGAATCAAACCTGGGACCCTTCAGTCCGCAGTCCAATGCTCTATCCACTGAGCCATACCGGCTAGGGCTCTTCTATACATTTGAGAGGGCAGCTAGCATGTTGAGTTTGGCTCTCAGTAAAAGGAAAGTAGACTTTGAATTAGGATGTTAGTGAGTCTGTAGATCCATCTCTTACAAGGAATAGGTGGAGTTGATTCATAGCTGTTTTTGAGCATGTTGATTGCCATTTAGTAAAGCAATTAGATCCTTACTTTTTCTTGTACCAAAAACCAAAGCTAGCATCAGAGAGTAGCAGTTTTTTTCTAAATGTGAAGAGAAACTTCTATCAAGTATAGCTAATAAAAAAATGTACATATTTGTAGGGATATTATAACTATTGAAGGATGTGTTATCCTATCTAGTTGCATGTTTTGATTGTTCCTTTTGGTAAAGATATGAAAATATTTTTAAAAATATGAAGAAGTATATATTGTTGTAATGATCATAAACATCTTATGAAGTATACTTGGTAGTTGAAGAGGAACTTTTAATCTCTCTCACCTACTTGCAATTTCTCTTTTTTCTTTGATGTGCTTTATACATCACTGAAATGTTTAGCAATTCTTTCCATAATCAAAAGCAGTCTTTGACACTCTAGAAACTGATATTTTCTCAAAATCTCTACTCTGAGCTTTGTCACTGTAGGATTTAAAACTGTTCATTGCCTGCTTAAATGTTGTCATAGTATACTTTGATTTTATCCTCACTGGTTTATTTGTAATGTTTAAATATTTATAAAGTCCCACAGTGCTGAGAACCCTGAACTTTTGGATGAGATTTATAATAGAAAAGCTGTTTTACTGATGACGATGGCTGTGGTTTTATACTGTAGTCCTGTCTGTGAAAAACAAGCTTTGTTTGCCCTATGCAAGTCTGTAAAAGATAATGGATTAGAACCTCACCTCATAAAAAAGGTACATGTGGATGAATATTTTTTATTATAATCTTCCTTGGGTGACTTTTAAACAATTAAAAAAGTTAAACTAGAATTTTAAAGTGGCACTTACAAAAGACTTAGAGACAGTTTTATTTTTTAATAATGTGTTTAAAAATAGTGTATTTATTTGTATACCTTGTTATTATTTCTTGCATTCAATTCAGGAACATTTCACAGGTATTCATTAAACTAACAAGGGTGAATGACCTGTTGTCATGCAGACCAGGCCTTCTGTAATAGCATTTATTGACTGAAACACAGAGAGAACAGCAGTAGTGAGTGTTCTGCCTGGTTGATTCTGGGGCAGGGCATTGGGATCTAGCAGAGTCAGGCATGAAATTTTAGAGCTTTTAAGTTGCATGATTAGGAAAGGAAGACCAGGGTCTAGCCTTGCAATTTCATCAGCACAGTGTTGTAGAATGTTCATTCCTGGCTTGTTCCACTACCTCAGCATTCATGGTTTGGGAAGTTCCAAGCCCTTCCAGTGTAGATTTTTATATGATGAACGAGTGACAGCTCAGTAGCCTGCTATCCCATTCAGCATCCTGACAACCTGGTTTCCATGGAGCTTTGCAGTAGGCCAACCTGTGGGTAATCAGTCTTAGACAAGTTAACCTTTTACTTCTCAGGATTAAGATAAGTTGCTTTAAAAAAAAATACAATTGCATCACCTAATTATTATTGTAAGTGGAATATAGTGTTTAGTATTTTCTCATTTTGTTTAGGACTGAGAAGAAGAATTATTTTACTTTAGACCCGGGTGGGGAACTTCTGCCCTATGGGCCATATAAGGCCCATGAAATCATTTGGTCTGGCCCTACCAAGGCATGAGGTGTGAGTGAATTGATTGTTTGACCAAATATAGCAGGCCAATTTTTAAGTTGATAATTTTGTATGGCCCGTGATGATGTTATAAATATCCAAATGGCCCTTGGCAGAAAAAGATTCCCCATTCCTGCTTTAGACCTTCCCTTGGAATATAATTAAATGTTTAAAATTTCAACTTTTTCTGTTTTTGTTAACATTTATTAAGAACTTGCTATGTGCCAGGCATGGTGCTAATTATATTAAGTACATTTTTCTTATTTAGTCTTGCTGAAGTGGATACTTTTATTATACCCATCTTAGAGATGAGTAGATCAAGATATAGAAAAGTTAAATGAATGCTTAAAGTTATACTGTTAGTAAATATTAACAAGGATTTAAATAACATATTGGTTTGCTATTTTCTTAAAGCATTGACTTCTTTTTTATTTGTATAGGTTTTAGAAAAAGTTTCTGAAACTTTTGGATATAGACGTTTAGAAGACTTCATGGCTTCTCATTTGGATTATCTGGTTTTGGAATGGCTAAATCTTCAAGATACTGAACACAGCTTATCTGCTTTCCCTTTTATTTTGTTAAACTACACAAACATTGGGGATTTCTATAGGTAGGTTTACATGTGAACTATGTTTACCTTAAAATTAGGTGACTGTTTGGCAATCCCAGCCCTTCCCCCCTAACCCCCATTCTCTAGCCCCCCATGTACAGATGTGGGAGGTTTATAGTATGAGAAGCAGGACAGCTTATTTTAATGAAAGTGTATTGAAGGGAATCCCTGGACTTTGGATCTGGTCCTAGCTGTGCCAGTTACCAGCTATGTGACTTTAGACAAGCCATGTAGGGACTTGATTAAGCCATTCGTTGGGGCTTGATTTTTTTAATCTGTAAAGTAAGGGAATTACACAAGGAGATCTTAATGTTTCTTTCAGCTTAAACATTTGGTAATCTTTTCTATGAAAAGTGAAAGATAAACTAATAGTGACTGGTTATTTCTGCCTTGTTTTTGTTTTCTGTTGTGTGACTGTAGGACATTTAGTCATTATTTCTATTTTAATGTAAAAGTATTTATTTTGCTAACTCTAACTGTAGAGAAGAAAATTTTGAAGATGGAAAGGTTTGAAACAACTAAAGAGTAATGTGTACATAGGATGATGGGAAGACTGTTCATTATTGTTTAGTCGTCCTTATTCAGTTTGGCAATAATATTCACATTTATTCTTTGAATTTACAAGTTGCTTTCACATTTCATTTTACAATCATCTACATATATATAAATAAAACCTAATATGCAAAGTGTCCCCTCGGGAGTTCAACTGACCAGAGTTTGATCGCTCTCTATGATGTGCGCTGACCACCAGGGGGTGCTGCAGAACGAAAGAAGGCCCTGACCGGCAACCAGAAGACCCCTATTGACCCTGATCACATGAATTTTGTGCACTGGGCCTCTAGTTTTATATACAGAAGTAAACATAAATTTAATTTCTACTTTTTTAATCATAGAATTAGGATAGTATATTCTATGATCTCTATTCTTTTTAATGTGACTATTTAAAATGTACTTAACTTCATTTTTCCATTTATAAAATTACAGTAAGAAAGCTTCAGCTAGATAAAATAGTATTCTAATATTTATTTAAAGAATTTTATTATTTTAAGAACTATAATAAAAATTTTACTTTGAAAGTTATATATAATACATTTTTTAAATTTTTTATGTTTTAGATCTTGTTATAAAGTTTTGATTCCACACCTGGTGATCAGAAGTGATTTTGATGAGGTGAAATCCATTGCTAATCACATTCAGAAGGATTGGAAGTGTCTTCTAATAGACTGTTTTCCAAAGATTCTTGTTAATATTCTTCCTTACTTTGCCTATGAGAGTATAGGAGACAGTGGGATGGCACAGCAAAGAGAGACTGCTACCAAAGTTTATGATATGCTTAAAGATGAAAACTTACTAGGAAAACAGGTATGACTTCAACTTTTACTTACATTTTATCCCCTAATTGATCTGAGATGTAACTTTAAAATTTTAAGGCTCTTTATCTATGAAGTTAAACTTAATATGTGGAAATCACTATCTAGCATAGACAGTCCATGAATTGTTGTGGTAGTGTTCTCTCCTTTTGATTGGCTTTTTAAAAAAATATGCTTTTATTGATGTTTTTAGAAAGAGAGGTAGGGAGATATAGAGATAAAAACTTAGATTAGAGATGAAACATCAACAATCACCTGCCTCTGCATGCCCCTACTGGGCATCGAACCGGAAACTTGGGCATGTGCCGTGACAGGGAATCAAACCAGTGACCTTTTGGTTCATGGTCAACGCTCAACAACTGAGCTACAACAGATAATTTGCAGTAATAATAAATGCTTTTAATCAGATATTTAACAAAATAACTTTTGAATAATTTTTTTTTCTTTTTTCTTTTAAAAATTTATTATTTTTCAAGGAAAAATACAACCCCAAATTTCCATACCCTGCTCTTCCTTGTTTCCACAACTACCTCCTATTTCCTCTTTAATCTCATTAAACCGCTCACTTTTCAAGGAAAAATACAACCATACTATCAGTACTATGAAGGTAGAATTTTTCTTTCTTGCTGATGCATCCTAACCACTTAGTATATATATAAAATATTCATTTTTTGATATAAGATGGACTCAAGTAAAAAAGGATCTAACAATTTTTGATTTACAGTATTTTACATAAATTCAAAATTATTTGAGGCAACTTATATTAAAACACATATACAGGGCGTGGCAAAAGTAGGGTTACAGTTGTTCTTATGGAAAATAGTACAATAATTAAATAATAATACAAGAATAAACTGTTTCATGTACTCACAGCTGTATCCTACTTTTGTCCCACTAGTAATCTTTTTTTAAGATAAAAGATGATTGGTCAGTTCAGTTTTTTTTTTCAGTGTAAGTAACGGTGACTAACCAAATTTGGTTAACGTAAGAATTATAATTGGATGAACTTTGAGAGGTTTTTTGTGTTTTTTTTTGGTTGCCCAGTTATCTATGTTGAACCAAGAAATGGAACAGCAAGACTCAAAGTTACTTAGGTAGACCATTGCCAGTCAGATGGTTGTAAGTCTAGTCTGGTGACAAATGTGACAGTCAGAGCAGAATGTTGGCATACCGGAGGTAATGGAATTTATGAGGGACACTCTGTTTCTACCCACTCCCACCCAATCTCCTAGCTTAGACTTCTGAGCAGGCCTGATCTTACTAGTCTCTTTATGTATTCAGACCAAACGATAGCAGTTTTCAGTCAGAATTAGTCTAGGAGGGAAAAGTTATTACATTAAATCTTGATATCTTAGCTTCATGGTAAAAGAAATATACTAAAATTCTTGTTAGTCTCAATTTAGCATGAAGTTGTCATCAGTTAATTTTTCTTTGTTTCTCTAATTTGTGCTTTATCTGAATCAGTCTTATAGATTCTTTTTTTTTTGTCAGTAAGTGTTGGTACAACTATTATGCCTTTGCATCTTCTAAAACTGTTAATTGTTGAAAGCCTAAAATCTTTACCGTGAGATTGTTTAGCTATATCTAGACATCTGAACAATTTATATATACTAAAGCTAAGATTACATATCTGGGTTATTAGAGAATCAAGTGAAATTAGTGAAGTTTCTTATGTGCAAGGAAATATTCATTAATTTTTCCTCATTTTTTTGTAATATTTTTTTATTGATTTTTAGAAAGAAAGGAAGTGAGAGGGACAGAGAGAAACATTAATGAGAGAGACACATCATTTGTCTGCCTCCTGCATGCCCCCTACTTGAGCATCGACCCATGAACCAAGAGGTCCATGGCATCGAACCAGGACCTCTTGGTTCATGGGTTGATGCTCAACCACTGAACCACACTGGCCGTGCTTCATCTGGTGTTAATTAGATTGGCCAATTTGTCCTTACTCATTATAGATACACTTTGAAATGAAGCTGTATTTTTATAAGGGCTGAAACCTTGGAAATGATGATATGGACAATTGATATGTAAGCCAGAGGGAAAGGATAGGATTTTTACATTAGGTTTCTTGTCACATTAAAAAATATTTCTGTTATATTAGGAAATATTTTCAAACCTCCTTGTGTATCAAATAAATCAGCCATTTGCCCTGTAGTTCAAAGCACTATAATTCTTTATTTGGAGAGCTAATAAATTCATCCTCAAGACTTTCACAGTTTTCATACATTTGGCTGAGGTGTAAGGTAGCAGACCCATGAGGTAGAGAATTTATGCTCATTGTAAGGCTACCTATAGTAGGAAGTGATTGACAAAGAGTTTGCTCCTGTTGGGTTTTAGTCTATTGTTGATGATGAAGTGTAGGTAGCAACTAGCTTCAGAATCTGGGATATCAACCAAGGGAGAAGTCATGCAGGGAACAAAGAGATGATTATTGCTAGTCACTGAGACTTTTTACTAGTCAAGTTTTCTTAGTGAAATAGCAGTCCCAAATAAGAGTAAAATGCAGATTGAGGAGCAGTACATATTAGTGGGAAATTTAGTTGTCAAGGAAATGATTAGATTGAGCAATTTAATGTAGACCTGAAGGCTTCATCAATTAAAATGATTATTTTTAAATATATATATTTTTTTATTGATTTGAGAGATAAAGGGAGAGGGAGAGAGAGATAGAAACATCAATGATGAGAGAGAATCATCAATCGGCTGCCTCCTGCACACCCCACACTGAGGACTGAACCTGCAACCAGTGCATATTCCCTGACCAGGAGTCCAACCATGACCTCCTGGTTCATAGGTCGACTCTCAACCTCTGAGCCATGCCAGCTGGACTAAAATGATTCTTTAAAATTAAAGGGTCATATTAAGGGAGTCTTGTTTGGTGTGGTTTCTTTACTTTCCTCTCAGTTTATAAGTTGGCTGCATAGCAGAAAAAAAAATGGAGTTAGGTGTACGTCTTGCAGATAGGCCTTTGGTCATCTATTTCCTTCTATAGTCACTGGATAATATTGGAAATGAGGCAATAACATGAGCCCCTTGAGCTGTCTTAAAGGTCACAGACATAAAAACTTAATTAATTTTATGTCCTTGCAGATTGACCATTTATTCATTACTAATTTACCAGAGATTGTGGTAGAGTTACTGATGACATTACATGAACCTGGGACTGCTGGTGCCAACCAAAGCACTGACCTCTGTGACTTTTCAGGGTATGGGTATTTTATTTTAATTTATTTTTAAGTTAAATTTAATTTTTTCCATCATATATTTATCAGGGTATGGGTATTTTAGACTTAGAGAATTAGCTGCAACTTCAGAAGTTTATTGGCAAATGTATTGGTTGACACCTTCAATTGTCTATTTCAGTTTTTAGGCACATACTCCGCTTTTAAATTATTTCTTTAAAAATGACTTCCTTTGAATTGAAGTAATTACCTATCTGCTTCTACTCTAGCCTTGCTGCAATTACTGTTCTTTCTAATTGACCTGTTTGTTTGCAAATTCAGTGAGCTTTTTTCTTCATTGTTTCTGTAGTATTTGAGCATTGTGCCATTGGTTGTCTCTTCAAATTTTCTTCCTTATGACACTTTATTTTATGTTCTCTTCTCCTTATCTATGACTTGTGTTTTTATCACCTTTTCTTTATCACCCTTCTTAGCTATCAGAATATTGCTATACTACAATGTAATTTGGATGTGTAAACCCACTTGGTTGTACATGAATGTTAGTTATCTTCCCAGCTTGATTTTGTAAATGGCTGGAAAGCATCCTTTATTTTTTTGGTATGCCCTATAGTGCTAGGCATATTAAATAATAATACCATCTACCAGAGTACTTTTATATATATATGTGTGTGTGTGTGTGTGTGTGTGTGTGTGTGTATATATATATATATATATATATATAAAATTTCACATATATATAATTTATATATATATATAAAACTTATAAAACTTATATATATATATATATAAAATTTCATGTGATACAGATGATGTTTGATTGCTGTGTCTTAAATAGTATTCTGTTTACAGTACTAGCATAGAGCTTTAATTCAGACCTGAAGTAGAATGAGTGACATTAAACCTCTTTTGTGGGATCACCATTAACTTCATAAAAGATTTTTTAAGCAAATCATTTAAAAACTGATTAAATCCTAGAAGGTAAAGGTATGTAAATACTCTGGTTGATGAATATAGACTGTGATATGTCATTTTATTAAAAGTAGTTTTCAGTAGAGAAATAATTTTTTAATTTGAGGTTATTATAATCTAAATTTTTATTCTGGAATTTCACTGGTCTGTCAACAAGTCTATTTTTTCTTGATTAGTTTGTTCTGAAAATGATGACTCTTTTCTTATAACTCTTAGGGATTTGGATCCTGCTCCTAATCCACCTCATTTTCCATCGCATGTGATTAAAGCAACATTTGCCTATATCAGCAGTTGCCATAAAACCAAGTTTAAAAGCATTTTAGAAATTCTTTCCAAAAGCCCTGTAAGTATACATTAGTAGTATAGTAACTGAGACGAGAATTCCTTCGTTTTCAGCCAGAAAATCTATATACGTGCATTGTAAGGAGAAAAAAAGTAAACAAATGGAAAATTCAACTGAATAAATTAAGAAGAAAAACACTTATTTACAAGTTTATATCTTGGTATTTTACTTGTCAGTATTAATTGAATTGTGTCACATATGAGGGCTGAATTTTTTTATTACATTTTAGTCATATATTGGCTCAGAATTTTTAAAAAAATATGCTATAATTTTTTAAAAATATGCTTTTATTGATTTCAGAGAGAGGAAGGGATAGGAATATTAAAAATGAGAGAGAATCATTGATCAGCTGCCTTCTGCATGCCCCCTACTGGGCATCAAGCCTGCAACCTGGGCATGTGCCTGGACTGGGAATCAAACCGTGACCTTCTGGTCAATGCTGACCACTGAGCCATACCAGCTTGGCAACTATGCTATTTAATTATAGTGTATGAAAATTAAATAAATTGACAATAGTTGTTTATGTTTAAGATAGTAATTTTCTGAATGTAATATTTAGCATTTGATATCAGATCCAAAACTAAATTCTGTAATTTTGAGTACAAAATGTACTTGTTATACCACAGTATATATGATTTGACAAGTTTTTACTAAAATGTATCTTTATTTTCTAGGATTCCTATCAGAAAATTCTTTTAGCCATATGTGAACAAGCCACAGAAACAAATAATGTTTATAAAAAGCACAGAATTCTTAAAATATATCACCTGTTTGTTAGTTTATTACTGAAAGATATAAAAACTGGCTTAGGAGGAGCTTGGGCCTTCGTTCTTCGAGATGTTATTTATACTTTGATTCACTATATCAACAAAAGGTAAATAATATATATAGACCAAGATTGAAGTATTTTTCTACCCTGTTATCTTAATTGAAAATTTATATGCTGGTAAGAGGTAGACACCAGAGTATTGTTTCCTGAATTTATATCTATCTGGTTTTTTAAAAAATAAATTGCATTACTACTTCTCCAAATCTTAAGTACTAGAAATCTTAATTTTTAATGGTCTTCAACATTTTAAAATAAAAATTCTAATTTTAGATGGCTTGAAATATATATGTTACCATAGCAGTTCTGGTCACCAATTCCAATGTGTGTGTGGGGGTGGGAGGGGGTTGCCGGGGAGGTTTTTCACACATGTCCAAGGAATTCTCCAGACCCAGCTGGTGTCTTACAATTCAACTCAATGTTGATGAGACAGTGTCAGATCCCAGAGGTTAAAGCAGGGGTCCTCAAACTTTTTAAACAGGGGGCCAGTTCACTGTCCCTCAGACCGTTGGAGGGCCGGACTATAGTTTAAAAAAAAACTATGAGCAAATTCCTATGCACATTGCACATATCTTATTTTGAAGTAAAAAAACAAAACGGGAACAAATACAATATTTGTATTTGCATGTGGCCCGCGGGCCGTAGTTTGAGGATCCCTGGTAAAGGCTCTCAGTTCTATAAGATTTCCTCCCCTTACCCCCCACCCCAATCACATGCCAGTGATAAATCCAGGTTATCATCTGTGCCTCTGACCACCTGGCTGTAGATTATAGGTTCTAATGACCCCACCTGCCTTGTGTCTGAGTAGTTTGCTCGATTGGCTTATAGAACTTGAGAAACCCCTTCACTCACTAGATTACCAGTTTTTTTTGTAAAAGAGGATATAACTCAGGATCAGCCAGTCGAATTTGATGCATAGCACTTCCATTAGTGCTGGGCCTGGGGCCAGTTAGCAAGGGGCGTGGGGCATGCTAATGCCAGATGTGTTTTTTAGGGTTTGTGAACCTTTGAGAGATTTTAGGAAAGGTTACAGCGTGATGCAAGACAGGCCATTTGTATTGAAAAGCCACTGGAAGTGGCTTGGGTGGGCTGCAAGTTGGGTGGGTTAGGACCTCAGGCAATCACCGGGAGGTGGGGACTGGGGAGAGGACATTGCTGGAGACTCAGCAAAGGAACAGTGGCCTCTGCCAGCACTTCTGTATGGGAGAAAACTGCCCCTTCAATCCTATCCCTAAAACCAGATAATTCAGTTCTTCCCAGTATGTCCCTGGCACCTTTAAGTGGGACTCCTAGGATTCCATCAGCCCTTTGTCTTACAATCTCCACTGATTTTCAGTCAGGAGTTACGGGGACTTCTCTTCCTGGCACTGTGACCTTGGGCTAGGGACCTGGTGTGCGTCTGGAACTCCTTGCTCTTCTGCAGTGGAAATGTCCTTCCCGATTTTTAACCCCCACATATGGGTCCACACCTTATGTGGACCAGCTAGTTCCGGTCTTCATCCTTCCTACCTGTCTGAATATGGCTTCATTTATATCCTTATTTGTAGGACTTCTGTTGAGCTAGAGCTCAGGCAGTTCTGAATAATGGTTGTTCCATAGTTTAGTTTTAATTTTGATGTGGTTGTGGGAGGATGCCAGTATCACCTTTTTGTATGCTGTCATCTTGACCCCATTTTTAAAAATTATGTTGTCTTTTTGTCATTGAGCTGTAGCAGTTCTTTATATAGTCCTGGGTTTGACTTTTTTTTGTTATTGTTGAAGGCTACAGTAGTCCATTTGCTTCATGAGTTTATTCAACTATTTTTACAGAGAATGTATTCCTTGTATATGTGGTCACTGAAGACTGTTCTTAACTTGTGTTCAGGTAGTGTTTTGATGGAGATTTCCTTGAATACCCGGAACCAGAAAAAGAGAGAGAGAAACCTTTTGTAGTTTTTGTAGATTAGCAGATAGAACTCTCCCTCAGCCCTTAGCCAGGCTTGCACTGAGCCTAGGGATCAGCCCAAAGTGAAAGCTTATGGTCTTCAAAGGTAGTTTTTGAGCAAGCATCTTACCCTGGGCATGTGTGTGGCTTCCTAAATTCCCCAAATGTATGGTGAATCTGAGTGCTCTAATATCCCAAGGAAGCTCTCTCCCCAATTCTCCCTCCTAGGCAATCAGTTGTATGTGTCAACAATAATCTTTGGTCCCAGGCAGCTGTGGGCTGTTGGCTAGCTTAATGTTTTCAAGCAATGCCCACAGCTTTTCCAGCCTTCAAATATCTCTCAGACAGGTTTAGAACAGACATACACAGTAATATGTGAATGAGGTCTGCTCTGCTTTCTGGAGAACTAGGGACCAGTTGGGGAATACAGTTTTCAAGACTGTGGCCAACCTGGGGAGAGGGTGGGACAGGGCAACTAAAATCACCAAAGAGCTTTGCTGCAGTTTTTAGGTTACCTTTTTCTTGGTGAAGAGTTTGTTTGATTGCTGTAAATCTTTGACTGTTTACAAGAGTTCTAACAAAGTACTGATAATTCTTTTTAAAAAAATTGGCTGTTTGATACAAATGGTTTTTATTTTATACTATCCTTGGAGATCTTTTCATGACAAGCTGTAGAGCTGCTACATTCTTTTTTTAAAAAAATATTTTATTGATTTTAGAGAGAAAGGGAGAGAGAGATAGAAACATCACTGGTGGAAGAGAATAATTGATGGGCTACCTCCCGCAAACCTCCTACTGAGGATTGAGCCCACAACCCGGGCATGTGCCCTTGACCAGAATCGAACCCAGGAGCCTTCAATCCACAGTCCAATGCTCTATCTGCTGAGCCAAACTGGCTAGGGCGCTGCTGCATGCCTTATTAAACTTTTTTAAATTTTATTTTAAAATTACAGTTTATAGACAATATTACATTAGTTTCACATAGTACAACGTAGTGATTGGACATTTATAAATATACTATAAAGGGTTTATAATATACTACATAAATTACTAAATATAATATTAAAATTAAATATACTACAAAAGGTTTACAATATACTAGTAAAGGTAATGCAGTATTATTGACTATATTTCCTATGCTGCACCTTACATCATCATGACTATTTTTATAACTGGAAATCTGTATTTCCTAATTCCTTTCACCTTTTTCACCCATTCCTCTATTATCCATTCCATCTGGCCACCATCAATTTGTTCTCTGTATCTATGAGTTTGTTTCTGTTAGTGGGATTGTAAATTGGTGCAGCTACAATGGAAAACAGTGTGGAGGTTCCTTAAAAAATTCAAAATAGAAATGCCTTATGATCCGGCAATTCCACTTCTGAATATCTGAAAAAATCCAAAACAGTAATTCGAAAAGATATATCCATCCCTATATTCATTACAGCATTATTTCCAATAGTCAAGATATAGAAACAACCTAAGTGCCCACCAATAGATGACTAGACAAAGACAGTGTGGTACACACACACACACACACACACACACACACACACACAGGAACCTTACTCAGCTGTAAAAAAGAATGAAATCTTGCTATTTGTGACAACATAGATGAACCTAAAGGGTATTATACTAAGTGAAATAAGTCAGACAGAAGAAGACAAATATATGATTTCACTTATATGTGAAATCTAACAAATGAACAAACAAAACAGAAACAAACTCATAGTTCTTGTTTTTCAGTGTCTCAGGAGAGATTGGAGCTGCCTACTCCACCATTTTGCTGATGCCACTTCTCTTTTTTGGTTTAAGGATTTGGATATGAAAGTGACTTTTATGTTAAGCCATAACATAATTTGAGCTGCTGACTAAAAATGACGATAGAATGAGTTTATATCAAACTAGTTGCCTAGAACTTAACTGTTTCCCCCCCCCCCATAACAGGCCTTCTCGTTTTATGGATGTGTCATTGCGAAGCTTCTCCCTTTGTTGTGATCTGTTAAGCCACATTTGCCGCACCGCAGTGACTTGCTGTAAGGATGCTTTAGAAAATCATCTTCATGTTATTGTTGGTACACTGATACCCCTTGTGGATAGTCAGATGGAAATTCAGGAGCAGGTAATTTCATAATCCATTTTCAAAATGATATTTGAATTACACGTATAAATTATTCTTGAAAGGAGCTGAATATTTCATGTTTACTTAGTATAATTCTTAATTTTAATGAAAATCCTATATAATAAAAGGCTAATATGCAAATCAACTGAATGATGGAATGACCATCAGGGGGCAGACGCTCAACACAGGAGCTGCCCCTTGGTGGTCAGTGCGCTCCCACAGGGGGAGCGCCACTCAGCCAGAAGCCAGGGTCACAGCAGTCGGACACACCCCGAGGGCTCCCGGACTGCGAGAGGGTGCAGGCCAGGCAGAGGGGACCCCCCGCCCAAGAGCATGAATTTCGTGCACTAGGCCTCTAGTTACTTATATAAAATGTTTCTATAATATTGGCATTTTTATACTTCAAGGCCCATCCTGTAGAAATACTTCAATGGTTTGTTGAATTATTTGAAAGCACTTTAACGGTTTGTTGAATTACTTTAAAGCATGGAAATAGCTGGGTTCCTAGAAGTAATTAGGATAGTTTATCTGAATTAGGTTAGCAAAGTTGTTATTTATTACAACGGGTTTGGTTATTTTACTTTAAAATATAATTAAGTCATTTGTCCCCTTTCATTTTTTTTTTAAATTATGTTTAGGTATTGGACTTGTTGAAATACTTAGTGATAGATAACAAGGACAATGAAAACCTCTATATGATGATTAAACTTTTAGATCCTTTTCCCGACCATGTTGTCTTTAAGGATTTGCGTATTACTCAACAGAAAATCAAGTACAGTAGAGGACCCTTTTCACTCTTGGAGGTAATAATTATTCCATCATCTAACTATTTTATATTAGAAAGGATAGACAGTAGTACCTTTTGAAAACCTATAATGCTTTAAATGTGAAAAACTGAATGTTTTTAAAAAATTATGATAAAAATATAGCATGAGAACAAACCTCTAAAATAAAAACTGAATCTTAATATATCCTCTTGCATTGCAATGAAAGTATAAATATCAAAGTTTTTTGTAAACATTTAATTTAAATATTGAGGAGATATGATATAACATATGCTTGATTTTCATATGCATAAACTCTATTTTTTTAAAAATTTTGTTTTATTGTTTAAAATATGACAAAGAGTAGTACATATGTCTCCTTTTTTTCCCCCTTGACCTTCCCCCGGCCTCCCCTACCCCCCAGTGTCTTGTGTCCATTGGTTATGCTTATATGCATGCATACAAGTCCTTCAGTTAATCTCTTACCCACCCCCACCCCCCCGCCCCCAACCCTCCCCGGCCTTCCTGCTGTAGTTTGACAGTCTGTTCGATGCTGCTCTGCCTCTGTATCTATTTTTGTTCATCAGTTTATAATGGTCTTTATTATCCATCAATGAGTGAGATCATGTGGTATTTTTCTTTCATTGACTGGCTTATTTCACTTAGCATAATGCTCTCCAGTTCCATCCATGCTGTTGCAAATGATAAGAATTCCTTTTTTTTTTTTTTACAGCAGCATAGTATTCCATGTGCATAAACTCTATTAATATCTCAAAATTACTGCCTGCTTCTTTGAGGGACAATTTAATGTTTGAATTAAAGAGTTTTCCAAATTTTAGTTCTGTCTTAATCTTTATAAACTTCAAAAGTATGTCCGGATACATTTTTCCTTATAAATCTTATTATAATTTAAAATGATGCTCTGTATTTTGCTATATATCAATATGAAAATGTGGGTAAATATATTAAGGTCTAAAACTAGTTACAGTACTAAGTGCATAAAAATTTAAGCTTTCTTTTCCAATTGAGTATGCTATAATCTTGCAATCTAACTATTATATCATGAAGGAATCTATTAGAATTTAAATTAAAACATTATATGGTTTGAAATCGAGGAAATAATTTACTTCTAACTTGTTTGGTAGTAATAGTGAGATGAGTCAGTGTCTATAAAAGGCACATACTAATTTTTTTTTCAAGCTTTAGTTCACAGACTTAACCAATACATGTCAAAAGCAATTCCATTTTTAACAAATTTTCTCTTTTAGGAAATTAACCATTTTCTCTCAGTAAGTGTTTATGATGCACTTCCATTGACAAGGCTTGAAGGATTGAAGGATCTTCGAAGACAGCTAGAACAACATAAAGATCAGATGGTGGAGCTCATGAGAGCCTCTCAAGGTACTCATTTTAATGACGTGGGTTATTTGTACCTATTCCTTTTTGAAAGAATCTTTTATAAATTCTTGCTGTTGGTTTAATTGCCATGGACTTAGATTCTCATCATTTAGTTCAGACTTTCATCATTTCTCATCTAACTATAAAAGACTTCCTAATGGTCTTCTGACCTTGAACTACTCCCACTTTATCCATCCTCTACACCTCTGCTAGAATGATTTCTCTAAACCCAAACATGATAATGTTATTTCATTGTTTAAAAAAGGTTAACTCGCCCTAGCTGGTTTGGCTCAGTGGATAGAGTGTCGGCCTGTGGACTGAATGTTCCCGGGTTCAATTCCAGTCAAGGGCACATGCCTGGGTTGCGGGCTCGATTCCCAGTGGGGGCATGCAGGAGGCAGCCGATCAATTATTCTCTCAGCATTGATGTTTCCATCTCTCTCTCCCTATACCTTCCTCTCTGAAATCAATACAAAAAATATATTTCTTTAAAAAAAACGGTTAAGTTCCTGCTGCCTAAAAGAGACATGAATTTTTTAGAACCAGGCATACAAGGTGTGTCTGCCTACTACTCCGATTTATTTTTTTTGGGGGGGGGGTCTAAAACTTCTACACTAATAAAAGACAAAGATGCTAATTGACCGTACCTTCGCTATGCCCAAGCCATGCCCACCAGCCAATCAGAGTGACTACATGCAAATTAACCCAATCAAGATGGCGGCTGGCAGCCACGGAGCTGGAGCAAGCAGGAGGCTTGGTTGCCCTGGCGATGGAGGAAGCCAAGCTTCCCGCCTGCCCTGGCCGGCTGTGGCCTACGCAAAAGGCAACAAAGTTTTAATTATAAAAGCTAAATAAATCCCAGATACCTGCTTTCAGCCAGCCTCCACTGGGAGCTTGGGTGGCTGGGGGCTGTGGTCAGCCTGCAAACAGCCATCAGCCCCTCACCCAGGCTGGCCAGGGACCCCAGCAGGACCCTTCACCCTGAAGGAGGTGTGGCCAGTCTGAAAACGGCCCTCAGCCCCTTACCCAGACTGGCCAGACACCCCAGTGGGACCCCACCCTGATCCGGGACACCCTTCAGGGCAAACCAGCCGGCCCCCACCCATGCACCAGGCCTCTATCCTATATAATGAAAGGGTAATATGCAAATTGACCCTAACAGCAGAGCGACTGGGAATCACTGGTCACTATGACACACACTGACCACCAGGGGACAGATGCTCAATGCAGGAGCTGCCCCCTGGTGGTCAGTGTGCTCCCACAGGGGGAGCTCTGCTCAGCCACAAGCCTGGCTGACAGCTGCCAGTACAGCGGTGGTGATTGGAGCTTCTCCCGCCTCCTCTGTAGCTGGGCCTGCCCCCCGCTGGCAAGTGGACATCCCCCGAGTGCTACTGGGCTGCCAGAGGGATGTCTGACTGCCAGATTAGGCCCAATCCCCCGGGGAGCGGGCCTAAGCCAGCAGGTGGTCATCCCCTGAAGGGTCCCAGACTGCGAGAGGGCACAGGCCGGGCTGAGGGACCCTCCTGAGTACACAAATTTTTGTGCACCAGGGCTCTAGTACTTAAATAAAAGAAATTTGTCTCATTTTAATCATCATTTAAGTATATATACACACACACACACACACATATATGTTTGTATATACACATATCTATATATGTTTCTAGCTTTGTTTTCCTTAAGAAACATTTTTATATTAATTTAATTTGAGTTTGGGTTATTATACTATTGTACTTGGGGGAATCTTTTTCTACTTATTTTTTTAAAATTTATCTTTATTGTTGAAAGTATTACAGATGTCCCCCTTTTTTCCCTCTCATTGATCCCTTCCTCCCCACTCCTGTCCCCTCCCCCACTATTGTCTTTGTCCATGGGTTATGCATATAGGCATATATGTTCTTTGGTTAATCTCTTCCCGCCCCCACTCCCTTCCCTCTGAGAATCCTTAATCTGTTGCATGCTTCCATGTCTCTGGTTCTATTTTGTTTATTAGTTTATTTTGTACATTAGATTCCATATATAAGTGAGATCATGTGATATTTGTCTTTTTCTGATTGGCTTATTTCGCTTAGCATAATACTCTCCAGGTCCCTTCATGTTGTCTCAAAGGGTAAAAGGTTCTTTTTTATAGCTGCATAGTATTCCATTTTGTGAATGCACCACAGCTTTTTTATCCACTCAATTATGGATGGGCACTTGGGTGTTTCCAGATCTTATTGTAAATAACACTTCTGTGAACATAGGGGTGCATATATTCTTTCTGATTGGTGTTTCAGGCTTTTTAGGATATATTCCTAGAAGTGGGCAGTTCCATATTTTAATTTTTTGAGGAAACTCCACACTGTTTTCCATAGTGGCTGCACCAGTCTGCATTCCTACCATCAGTTTACTAGGGTTCTTCTCTACATCTTCGCCAGCACTTGTCATTTGATGATTTGTTGATGGTAGCCATTCTGACAGGTGTGAGGTGGTATGTCATGTCATTTTAATTTGCACCTCCCTGATGATTAGTGACTGAGCATTTTTTCATATATTTCTTGGCCATTCGTATCCCCTCTTTGGAGAAGTCAGGTAAAGAATTCAAGCTCTACTTATTTGATTTTCATCTTCCTGTGCTCATTAATTTCGTATTTCTATTGTATTCTTTTTATCCTAAGTACTTTTTAAAACTAGTTTTGATAGCCACCTGAATTCTGAGATTCTAGTGTATTTGTTTTTATATCTACCTATATATAAGATATGAACACCTCTGTCTCTAATTATCATTTATTTGGGTATTTTATTGGTCTAACATGTCTTATCCAATACAGTCACTAGCTCTTTGTAGCTACTTAAATAGGAATGAATGAAAACTTAATAAAATTTAAAATACAGTTTTTTCATCATGCTAGCACATGTCAAGTTCTCAGTATTAACATGTAGCTAAGTGGCTATCATTGGATAGTGCAGATTATAGAATATTTCCCTCATTGTCTAAAGTTCTATTTAATAGTTCTGGTATAGAATGAATGCCAGAAGTTAAAATCCAAGCATATCTCCCAGGGTTTCTTCTAGCTCCTCATCATGTTGAATGATTTTTGTGTTTGTGATTTTGCTATGGTATTAATTTTTCTGTACAACTTAAGAATTTTTTCTTTCTTTCTGCCAAATGTTACTGATCACTTTTGCATAGTTTTATTTCATAGGGAAATTCAAATACATTTACTTCATTTTATTTTTTATTGTTTTATTAAATTTATTGGTGTGACATTGGTTAATAAAGTTATATACGTTTCAAATGTATAATTCTGTGATACATTATCTGTATACTGCATTGTGTGCCCATCACCCAAAGTCAAATCTTGTTTCACCATATACTCAATCCCTCTACCCTTCACTAATCTCCACCCCCACACCCTTTCCCTCTGGTAACTACCATATGTTGTCTGTATCTATGAGTTTTTATTTGTTCATTTGTTGCTTTCAGTTTTATATCTCACATATGAGTGAAATCATATAATTCTTGACTTTTTTCTAACTTATTTCGCTTAGTATGATAGTCTCAAGATCCATTCATGGCACTATTTCATCTTTTCTTGTGGTTGAGTAGTAACCCATTGTATATATGCACCACATCTTTATCTAATCATTTATCGAGGGATACTTTGGTTGTTTCCATGTCTTGGTCACTAAAAGTGCTGAACATAGGGGTGCATATATCTTTGCAAATAAATGTTTTAAAATTTTTCAGGTAGATACCCAAAAGAGGGTTGAAGGGTCATGTGGTAAATCTATTCTTAATATTTTGAGGAACCTCTATATAACTGTTTATCAGTTTACATTCCTACCAGCAATAAATGATGGTTCCTTTTTCTCCACAGCCTCTCCAACACTTGTTATTACTTGTCTTGTTGATAATGGCCACTCTGACAGGTGTGGGGTGGTATTTCATTGTAGAAGTTGAGCATCTTTTCATATATCTATTGACCATGGTATGTTTTCTTGAAAGATGTGCCTGTTCAGGTCCTCTGCCCATTTTTAATTATATGCTTGTTTTTTGTTGTTGAGTGGTGTGAGTTCTCTATATATTTTGGATATTAACCACTTGTCAGAGCTGTTGTTTTCAAATATCTTCTCCCATTCTGTTGGTTGCCTTTTTGTCTTATTGATGGTTTCTTTTGCTGTACAGAATCTCTTTAGTTTGATATAACCCCATTAAAAAATTTTTTTTTTCACTTCCCTTGCCTTTTGGGTCAAATGCTCCAAATCCTCTCTAAGACCAAAGTCCATAACCTTAGTATAAGGGGAGAAACAGTAGTTTAGTTTCATTCTTTTGCATGTGGCTTTCCAATTTTCCTAGCACCATTTATTGAAGAGGCTTTCTTTTCTCCATTGTGTGTTTTGGGCTTCTTTGTTGAAAATTATTTGACCATATATATGTGGATTTATTTTTGGGCTCTCAATTCTATTCCATTGGTCTGTGTGTCTGTTTTTCTGTCAATAACATGCTGTTTTGAATATTGTTGCTTTGTAGTATAATTGGCAGTCAGGGAATGTGATATTCCAGCTTTGTTCTTTTTTCTCAGGATTGTGTTGGCTATTCAGGCTAATTTGTGGGTTCATACAAATCTGATGACTTTCTGTTCCGTTTCTTTAGAAAAAAAGACATTGGGATTTTGATGGGAATTGCATTAAATCTATATATTGAGTAATATGGCCGTTTTAACTATGTTGATTTTTCCAGCCCATGAACATGGAATATCTTTCTATGTTGTTGTGGCTTTTTCAATCTCTTTTAATAATGCTTTGTAATTTTTAGTATATAGGTCCTTCACACCCTTCAAGTTTATTCCTAGGTGTTTTATTATTTTGCAATTGCAAAAAGAATCTTTTTCCTTTCTTTTTCTGAAATGTCATTATTAGCATGTAAGAATGCAATGGATTTTTGTACATTTATTTTGTATCTTTCAACTTTACTGTATTGGTTTATTATTTCTAATAGCTTTTTTGGTGGAATTGTTAGGGTTTTCCATATAAAGAACCATGTCATCTGTAAAAGGTGACAAGTTTACTTTCACATTCCCATTGTGGATGCATTTTGTTTCTTTCTCTTGCCTGATTTCTCTGGCTAGGACTTCCAGTACTGTGTTGAATAAGCGTGATGAGAGTGGACATCCTTATCTTGTTCCTGATCTTAGAGGAAAAGCTTTCAGTTTTTCACCATTGAGTATGGTATTAACTAAGGGTTTATTATATAAGGCCTTTATTATGTTGAGGTACTTTCTCTCTATACCCATTTTATTGTTTTAATTATAAATAAGTGTTGTGTCATGTCAGGTGCTTTTTCTGCATCTATTGATATGATCATATGATTTTTATCTTTTATTTTGTTAATTTGGTATATCACATTGATTTATTTGCATATGTTGAACCATCTTTGTGCCTCTGAAATGAACCCCACTTCATCGTGATGTATTATGTTTTTAATGTATCATTGTATTTGATTTGCTAGGGTTTTGTTTACGATTTTTGCATCTGTATTCATCAGAGATATTGGTCTGTATTTCTCTTTTTTGCGTGGGTTATCCTTGCAAGGTTTTGGTAGTAGGGTTATGTTGATCTCATAAAATGAGTTAGGAAGCTTCTTCAAATTTTTGGAAGAGTTTGAGAAGGATAGGGATCCAGTCTTCTTTGACTGTATGGTAGAATTCACTAATGAAGCCATCTGGTCTTGGGCTTTTGATGTTTTGGGAGTTGTTGTTTTTTTAAAAAAATATTTTTTTTCATTGATTTCAGAGAGAGGAAGGGAGAAAGAGAGATAGAAACATCAATAATGAGGGAGAATCATTGATCGGCTGCCTCCTGCATACCCTCTATTGGGGATTAAGCCCACAGCCGAGCATATCTCATCAGGAACTGAACCTTGACCTCCTGGTTCATAGGTCAAATCTCGACCACGGTTTTTGGGAGGTTTTTGATGGTTGTTTCAATTTCCTCATTGTTGATTGGTCTGTTTAGATTTTCCGGTTCTTCATTATTCAGTCTAGGGAGGTTATTTATTTATTCAGTCTAGGAAGGTTGGAATTTATACATTTCTTCTAGGTTATTGAATTAGATGTCATATTCTTTCATAATGTTCTTGAATGATCCTTTGTATATCTGTGGTATCTGTAGTAACTTCTCTTTTCTAATTTTATTTACTTATCTTTTCTCTATTGAGTATAGCCAGATGTTTGTCAATTTTTTAAATCTTTCAAAGAACCAGCTCTTTGCATTAATATTTTTGTATAGTCCTTTAGCTCTCTATTTTATTTAATTCTGCTCTAATTTTTATTATTTTCTTTCTTCTGCTTACTTTGGGCTGCTTTTCTTCTTCTTCTAGTTCTTTATATGCAGTGTTAGCTTGTTTACTTGGGATTTTTCTTGTTTCTTGATATTGGCCTGTAATGATATAACTTCCCTCTTATTACCACATTTGCAGTATTCCAAAATTTGATGTCATATTGTCATTCTCATTTGTCTTTCTATATCTTTTTATCTCACATTTTATTTCTTCTTTGATCCAGTCGGTTTTTCAGTAGCATGTTTTTTAACCTCCACATATTTGTATTTTTTTCCACTTCCTTTTTGCAGTTGATTTCTAATTTCAGAGCATTGTGGTCAGAGAATAGTTTGGTTATCACTTAATATTTTTTGAAGTGCTCATGATTTAAAACCTTTTCAAAAAACTTTATAAAAGTTTTCTAGTCAGATAATTTAAATATATAAAATGTAATATCATAAAGAAAAGTGTTGTTTCCATTATAGTTTAATTTTTTTTCCAAAACTGCTTCTAGGTAACCCACAAGATGGCATAATGGTGAAGCTGGTTGTCAGCTTGTTACAGTTATCTAAGATGGCGTTAAATCACACTGGTGAAAGAGAAGTTTTAGGTAACTATTTGGCTGAATGACTGTGAGTTTTTTGTTTGAGTGGTCATCTTTATAATTTCCAAAATCAGTAAAAGTTTATCATTTGAGGTATTGGGGAAATGTAAGATGCTAGCTAAGTAATATTTCTATTTAGCTCAAGCGTCCCTAAGCTGCCCTCCTTTCATATTTTCTTCCTTAGACATTCATTTACTTTTTACTTTATGCATAAAGTAAAAGTTAGTTATTTACACATTTATAACTGTGAATTTGAAAATGTTTTGTAAATATTTAGGAAAGTCAGATATACCTATTTGTTGTGAAGTTGAAGATAAATTGATGTATATTAAAAATGACTGGTACTTAATATCTTTCTTATATAACTGAAATAAGAATGAGGATTTGGAGTGCTGGATTAAAGTCACATATTAAAACCATATTCAAGTCCTTTACTATCACCATTTGGAGGAAACCTGATGTAAGATAAATAGCCAATATCATGTCTAGAGTGTAGCTATTTAGGTTTGGTGCTTACAGGAGGGAAAAGTCACATTAAAACCAGCTTGAAGTCCTCATGACGGCATTGCTTCCAGTAAGAAGTGGGAGGAATAATAGCTGTTTCATACATCTTACTATCTTTCAATGGAGTCTTTTTTAACTTCTCATCGGGAGCCTAATATCTAGGGTACTTAACATTTTTTGATAAATTTTTAATTGAAATATATCTTACATCAGTAAATTGTACAGATCATAAGCATATAACTTGAAGAATTTTTATAAGCAGAACACACACCTGTGCATCTAGCACCCAGACTAAGAAACAGAACCTATCCGCATCCTAGAATTTTTCTTTAACCAAGGAATTTACCCCTTTGTCCATAGTAATACTGGCTCTGGGGATAAATCTCATTTACTGCAAGAACCGTAAGTGGCTTTCCTGTGTAGCATAAAATCTTTGTACCTATGACTAACATCATACTTAATGTAAGAGATTGATGGTTTTCTCCCTCAAATCAGGAACGAGAAAGGTTGCCCACTTTTACCACTGCTATAGCCAGAGCAATTGGACAAGAAAAAGAGATAAAAATTATTCAAATTGGAAAGGAAGAAGGAAAATGATGTCTATTCACAGATGACGTAATCATAGATCTATATGATCCCAGGGAATCTATAAGAAAGCTACTATAATAGAGATAAATGAATTTAGCAAAGTTCTAGGATACAAGGGCAACACACAAAATTTAGTAGTGTTTATGTACACCAGCAGTGAACAATCTAAAAAGGAAATTCTATTTCATTTATAATTTCATTTGTAATAGTGTCTAAGAATTAAATACGTGCAGATAAACTTAGTCAAGGAGATGGAAAACTTGTACACATTCTCTTTGTTAAAAGCCAGTCACTAAGCACAGCCCAACATAAATTAGGCTTCACCTTTTGAAAGGAGGACTATCAGAGCATTTGTGAACTTATTTTAATAAATTTTACCATGACTGGCAAGGAGCATGAGGGAGACCTCTGGCATGCTGAAAACGTTCTATCTTTATCTGGGTAGTGATAATACAGATGAGAAAAAATGAGTTATGTGTGTTCGCATGCACGCATTTGTGTATGTGTGAGTTTTTGCTGAACTGAGTGTTGAAGGTTAGTGAACTTTATGTACTTAATATCAAAAAATTTTAAGTTTTAAAGTCTGCTGATACTCTCATGCAATAGCTATGTTTAAACGTTCATCCTTAATATCTATATTCTGTGACTAGTCTATTTCTTGGATATGATTCTATAGGAAAAATTATTGCCCACATGGATGATATGCAAAGGAAGTGATACAATATTTTGTTGCTGCTTTAATTTATTCCAAATCTTTGAGAGAAACTGAACTCTTGAAGGATGACAGAGTAACATTATATTTTGGAACTCAGGAAATTTTGTGTGTATGATCTCTTAGCTATAACTCTACTGAAATGTAATTTCTGTATGTAGAGGCTGTCGGGAGCTGCTTGGGAGAAGTGGGTCCTGTAGATTTTTCTACGATAGCTATACAACATAGTAAAGATACATCTTATATTAAGGCCCTTCAGTTATTTGAAGATAAAGAACTTCAGTGGACCCTCGTAATGCTGACCTACCTGAATAACACATTGGTAGAAGATTGGTGAGTACTTAATGACACTTTATTTCTGATAGCATTTACTTAATCTGACATTCAAGGAGAATGATACTGTCTCTTCACATAAATTAATAGTTCCAATAACTTTAAAGCTTTCTCTTTTAAGTTGCCATACTTTTCTTTCAATCTCAAGTATTTTAATGAAAATTGTTGGATTTTTATTAGTGCATGAAATTACTGACGCTCTTTTATGTACCAAGCATTTAATATGGTGAACTAGACAATGTCCATGTGAAATTCTGGTGAGAGTAGACTAGACAAATAGATAATAAGAAAATTGCCAGGTGGTTCTACATAGAACATTAAGATAGGGGAATGCAAAATGAGATATTGGGATATTTGTCAAAATCAAAGGTGTCACTCTTCCCAGCTAGACTATTTATGTCCTTTTTAAAAGAAGTTGTAGAGCCCTGGCCAGCATGGCTTCATGGCTTAATGGTTGGAGGGTTGACCCGAGCACTGAAGGGTCCCAGGTTTGATTCCCTGTCAAGGGCACGTATCTGGATTGCAGCTTCCCCATCCTGGTTGGCTCTTTCACTTCGATGCTTTTCTCTCCTCTCTCCCTCTCTTCCCTCCCCCCTCCCTTCCACTCTCTATAAAAATCAATGGAAAAAATATCTTCCAGTGAGGATTAACAAACAACAACAAAAATAATAAATTGTAGCCCTGGCTGGTTTGGCTCAGTGGATAGAGCGTCAGCCTGCGGACTGAGGGGTCCCGGGTTCGATTCCGGTCAGGGGCCTGTACCTTGGTTGCGGGCACATCCCCAGTAAGGGGTTTGCAGGAGGCAGCTGATTGATGTTTCTCTCTCATCGATGTTTCTAGCTCTCTGTCCCTCTCCCTTCCTCTCTGTGGGAAAATCAATAAAATATATTTTAAAAAAATAATAATAGAGCAGAAATTTCATAACTCAAAAATTATTAAGCTAATCAAACAGTTTTTACCCATTTATTCTCTGCAAAACAAAATTGCAACAGATTTTTCAGCTTGCTGGTTATGAGATTATGGTTGCTTGCTTTCTTTGCCCCCCTTCCCATTTATCTGTTTATTTATTTTTGGTATATTTGAGCACCTCATCACAATTTTTTGGCTGTGGATCAAAGGATTTTAGCCCACAACTGGGGCATCTATCTAAGGTCAATAGGTATTTTGCATCTGTTTCCTTCCAAACCCTCCCCCTCCGTTTCTTGGGGAATAAATGATTGACAGTAATGTCTACCTGCCATGTTTTCATTGTTGATTTAATGGATATGTATTTTTCTCTCTTGTTGTTGTTTTTGCAATAAAAAGGCTGATGTGCTTTTCCCCAAAACATTTTATTATACTAATTTTCAAATGTACAGCAAAGTTGAAAGAATTTTGCAGTAACACCCGTATATTTACCACTTAGATTCTCCTAGGTTCTGTCATAACTATTTTACTACTATACTTGCTTTGTCACATCTAGCCATTCTTCTATCCATTTATTAATTAATCTCATTGTATGAACATATTTCAGATGACATCTGGCACAGTTTTGAAGAGATTTTCCACAGAAAAGTTGCAGGCATTAAGTGTTTCATTTGTAACACAGTCATTTGCAATTGATTTTTTCTGAAAAGATGTACACAGATATTGGTTTGACTTAAACTTGAGAGATCTAGGGAACAAGTATAATTTGTTGTTCCTATCTTTCTTTTTTTTAAATATGTTTTTATTTTTAGAGAGAGAGGAAAGGAAAGGGAGAGAGAGAGAGAAAGAGAGAGACAGAGAGAGACAGAGAGAGAAAGAAACATCAGTCAGTTGCCTCCCATATGCAACCCCACCAGGGATTAAATCTGAAACTGGGTATGTACCCTGACTGGGAATCAAACAAGTGACCTTTTGGTGCATGGGATGACACTCAACCAACTGAGCCACACCAGCCAGGGCCCTATCTTTTTGTAATAGGGAAACTATCATTACATATTTATGGACCCTCAGTTCTACAGAGGGGATGTTGACCAAGGAATTCCCAGAATAGCAGGTCATGGAAGGCTTTGCTGAGGAAATGTCATTTGCTGATTTGAATGATCAGGAATCAGCTGTAAGATGATTAGGGATAAAACATTCCAGATGGGGAATATCTAGAGTGGAAATAAGCTTGATGTGTTTGAGAAACGGAAGGAAACCTGGTGTGGAAGGAGATGGCAGGAAATGAAATTAGAAAGGTAGAACTAATTTCGATAAGAAATTTAGATTTTATTTGAAATATGTACAGCCATGGAGTGATAAGCAAAGTACTATCATGATGATGCTTACATTTTTACTCTGACTTTTATATGGCAAATGGATTATGATAGGGCAAAAGTGGAAACAGGAAGCCCTATTTTGAAACTTTTAGTAGTCCAGAGGACAAATGATGGTGACTTAGATTAGGATGGCAGTAATGAAGATGAGATGGGAAATGGATGGAGCCAGGGTATGTTTTTAACAGAGAGCCAGCAGGACTTGCTGTTTAATTAGCAATGGAGATGTAGGGAAATAGAGAGCAGTGAAGGATTAATTCAAGTTTATGATTTATGCTTTTATGTCTTAAATTGAGAAACCTAAAAGGAATTAGGCCTTTACAGTATTGGGCTTTATGACATTTTTTGTCAGCTGTTTTATTTTCAGTGCTCTTGTATTGCAGCCCTCCTTTCCCTCCCTCTCCCCCCCTTTTTTTTTTGCAAAAGAGAAGGCCCTTCACATTGTTACTAGAGGTTTTAGATGTGTTACCTAATGATTCTCAGCTAGCTTCTGGTCAGAATAAGTGTGTATTTACCGTTTGTTTAAAATTGTTCTAGACAATAATTTTATCATTTGGACGGAAATAGCATTCTGCCTATCCCAAATTATTTGTATTTCTTAGAGAAAATATCAAAATATTGTTTTCTCAGGTGAATTACTATTGTCATTCTTATTGCTCATTTTTATTAGTTGGTGTTATTTTACTTATTTTTATGAGTCCTTTTATATTTAGTAGTCATATTACAAATTTTATTGAAGAGAATGCTATTGCAGTAATTAGTAACTCAAGTTTACTGAAAGAATATTAAAAATCCTTTGGTAAATTTTGGCTGTGATGTAATATAATTTTATAGATGTAAAATTTACCAATAAGTGTAGAATTGTCCTAATGATATAAATTTTAGATTTCAGTTTTTGTTTTTTTATTGGAGGTTGTTTAGCATTTATCAAGCTTAATAGTTGATATGTTTTTTAGGCTTTTGAATTATATCTGTTTTTCAGTGTCAAAGTGCGATCAGCTACTGTTACCTGCTTGAAAAATATTTTAGCCACAAAGACTGGCCATAGTTTCTGGGAGATTTACAAGACGACTACTGATCCCATGCTGATCTATCTACACCCTTTTAGAACATCGAGGAAAAAGGTCTTTCAAATAATAAATGTTTACTGTGTACCCACTATTCTAGAATGTTGTTTGTTTTTTTTCCTATGGATAGGAATATCAAATTGCTTAAATGGTATTATACTAACATTTAACCTCTTTTAGAAATAATTCCAGCTGAGCTATAGATAGCCTAGAGAGGTGATGATTTGGGGAGATTAGGAGAAGTTCTTAGTGATAGGCCTTTTTTCTTAGGAGTAAAAAATGCTAACTTAGCCCTAACTGGTTTGGCTCAGTGGATAGAGCATCGGTCTGTGGACTGAACGGTCCCAGGTTCAATTCTGGTCAAGGGCATGTACCTTGGTTGCGGGCACATCCCCAGTAGGGGGTGTGTAGGAGGCAGCTGATCGATGTTTTTCTCTCATCGATGTTTCTAACTCTCTATCCCTCTCCCTTCCTCTCTGTAAAAATTCAATAAAATATATTTAAAAAACAACAACAACACACCCCTAACTTAGATTTCATAACAGCCATTGATCCTGGGTGTGGTTATTAGGTGTTGAAATCAACAACTAAGTATTTATTTCTATAGCAAGTTTTAAGTAATACAGTTCCCTAGTGAAATATAAGATGACCTATAAATGTCTCCCTTTTTCCATGTTGATATCATAAGATTCCACCAGGAGTACTCTGTGAAGTATATTTAAGAACTCTTGCTCTCCTTTAGTTTGAACATTCCCGTTTAATATTTGAAGTAGTGCCTTTTTGTTGTTGTTGTTTTGTTTTGTTTTTTAGTCCTCACCTGAGGATATATTTTCACTAATTTTTAGAAAGAGAAACATTGATGTGAGAGAAACATTGATCAGTTGTCTCCCGTATGCACCCAGACCTAAGTATGTGCCGTGACCTAGAATCGAACCCACAACCTTTTGGTGTAAGGGATGATGCTCCAATCAACAGAGCCACCCAGCCAGGGCTGAAATACTGCTTTTAAATGTATCATAAATATAACTTCAGTATTAGTGAAATTAATGGTAATATAAACTATTAATAAAATTAGCAATGTAACCTGTAAAACACTATAGTTAGAACATTTTATAATATTATTTCATTTTGAAATCAATTCTGTGTGGTAGATTTGGACTGGTTTTGTATGTAAGACAGATGAGGCAGAGAGTTTGTGATTCATATAATATACTACTATGAACTTACTACTGTCTAGACCAGTAATTCTTTAAAAAATATATGTTTTTGTATTGATTTCAGAGAAGAGACAGGGAGAGAGAGAGATAGAAATATCAATGATGAGAGAGAATCATTGATTGGCTGCCTCCTGCACGCCCCCTGCTGGGGATCGACCCTGCAACCCAGGAATATGCCCTTGAGTGGAATCGAACCCGGGACCCTTCAGTCCGCAGGGCAACGCTCTCTCCACTGGGCCAACCCAGTTAGGGCTAGACCAGTAATTCTTTTCCATACCAGTCTGACTCTCATATAAACATAAATGTATTTTAAATTTAAAAGGTAACCCTGGCCTCCAGATTTAGTTTTAACTATATTTAGTTTTACTTGGAAACAGGTTTGTGTATATTTAGATATTTGTTTTCCAGTGTATTTCTGATTACCTTATTTTTATTTTCTGATCATTTTCTTTCTAGTTTTTAGAAGTACCCAGACTTGACAGAGAAAGCCCTTTAGAGGGTTTGGATGATACAAGCCTGTGGATTCCTCAAAATGAAAATCATGATGTTTGGATAAAGTCACTGACTTGTGCGTTTTTGGATAGTGGAAGCATAAAAAGTGAAATTCTTCAGTTACTAAAGCCACTGTGTGAGGTAAAAAGATTACTTGGTCTGACTTCATTCCTTTCTAACTTTGCTTTGTTTCATTTCCTTTTTTCTCTTAATAGCTTTCTTTGCTTGTCTCGTTCCACTTGGCTTGTGTGTACATGCTTGTTGCCTATAATAAATACTCAAAAAAGAGGCCTGTGGAACAGCACATCCTCCTCAGGCAACATCACCCACACTCAGCTGCTGCGAGCCCATCAAACAGGATTGTCTTTATTTAGCCACAACTTTATGCAGTAGGTTTCAGCCGTGAGATACACGTTCTGGATGAGTTCTAAGGGGTGCCTCAAGTACTTTGTTACTAATGGTAGTTAAGATCCTGGTGACTGTAAATATTTATATTAACCAAAAGTCTGCTTTTTTTGTTCATTTGTTTACTCCTAATAAGGTCATTGTCATTTACTTTTCTCTGAGGTGCTTTCTCGAATGAGAAAAAGGGAGCAGGTAGCAGTTAGCACTACTTTTTGATTTTTGAAGGTACTCTACAATTTATTTCAATAGAGAGTACAGGTATGAACCAAGTCAAACAAAAGTTTGTTATATGCTTTTATCAAAACAGCACTATGATGGTGCTCTAGGACTTTTAACAGCTCTCTAGTTTGTAATTCTGCCAAGCATGATGCAACAGAAATGTGAAATAAGCTGTGACTAGGTCAAACATCCACCAATCACAAATAACTGGTAGAGAAGTGAGTATTTTGGTAAAAGCAGTTTAAAAAGCCGTCCTTGTTTCTTACAGTTAATAAATCATCACTCCGTCTGCAGTACTGCGCTGCACTCACACCAGGTCAGCAGAGTGAGATCCTGTGCCCACACACACAGCTCACTTCTCATCAGTGAAACTAAGATTTTTATAAAATTCTAACTTTGGCCAGAAGATAAAATGCTCCAAATACACAGTTATGTATACTTCAATTCCTGGTTCCTTAAATTCTGTTTCCCAAACTGACATCTTGACTTTAGTTTAACAAGGAAATTGTTCATCTGCAATTTGTCTTATGTGTGTGGCATGTGATGAATATAAGAAGATGGTATCTTTGCAAAAATAAGGTTGAGCACTGTTTTAATATACCAGACATATTAAAGCACTTTTCTACACTCTGGAGTATACCAAAAATAAGTACCCAAATTTTATACCCAGAAATTGGGGTTTATTTAAAAAAAAAACAACATTTTAACATCGCTGTTGTAGCTCTTCACTGAGTATAGAAAATGTGCAAAAATCAGATTTTCAACTTTTCTCATAAACATTGATCTCCATTTTTCCTTACATCAAATTAGAGAACTTGCTGTTATTAGTAACACTTTTCAACTCTGAAATTTTACTTACAGTAGTGACATAATTTCATTTGTAAGCAATATTCTGTTTCATTATATGCAAACTAAAGGCTTGGTGCACGAAATTCATGCACGGTGGGGGTTGTCCCTCAACCCAGTCTACACCCTCTCCAATCTGGGACATCCCCTCACAGTCCGGGACTGCTGGCTCCTAACTGCTCGCCTGCCTGCCTGCCTGCCTGCCTGCCTGATTGCCCCTAACCACTCCCCTGCTGGCCTCATTGATGCCTAACCACTCCCCTGCCGGCCTGATTGATGCCTAACTGCTCCCCTGCTGGCCTGATCGCCCACAACTGCCCTCCCCTGCCAGCCTGATGGCCCCCAACTGCCCTCCCCTGCCTGGCCTGATGGCCCCCAACTGCCCTCCCCTGCCACGACCCACCTCCTCCATGTGAGGCGGTGGAGACACCGGGACCAGCCTCCTCCCCGCTGCGCAGAGCCGTGGGACGCCCCCAGGCCTCACCGCGCAGAGCAGCCACTGGGCCCCGCCTCTGCTGTGCGCACGGCCATCTTGTGGTGACTTCATGCAAGGACATGACGCCACCCAGGCTTTTATTATATAGGATGGTCTAGGCTGGAAATGAATAATTAACATTGTAACTAATCATATATGTTTTATATAGATATTCTAGGTTAGTTTGAATTTTTTTCTTAAAAAACACTATCTGGTACACATGTTTTCTAGCAGTACATTGAGGTTATGACATATTCATCTGTCATTTAAAGCTTACATGCCAGTAACATGGAAAGAAATTGTAATATATTGTTTTTACTTAACCTATTGACTGGATGTGTTTGGGTATTCTAGGTGAAAGCTGACTTTTGTCAGACCGTGCTTCCATACCTGATTCATGATGTTTTACTTCAAGATGCAAATGAATCATGGAGAAATCTGCTTTCTATGCACATTCAGGGATTTTTCACTAACTGTTTCAGATACTCCTCACAAACGAACCGATCCATGACCCCTGCAAGTTTGGATTCAGGTATTCTGTTAAAACTCTCACATTTACACTGTTAAGGTCTTGGTTCTAGAGAAAGACAGATTGGTTTGAATCTCATCAAGACGCTTTGTAGGTGTAATTCCATAACCTCTAAACATCTATTTCTTCATCTATAGAATAGAGGTAACAATTGTAACAAGTTTTCAATGAGATAATGTATATAAAGCACCTATGATAACACTTGATGGATAGTATTCCCTCATTAAATTTTGGCTATTAATTAATTACAGAGAATTCAGTATGTGTCAAGCACTGTGCTTGGCACTGGGAGTATAGATGTGAACAAGACACACCCTATATTCCAGCATTGGATAAAACAGACAAATGTGCAGCCAGATATTATAGGGACTGTGTTGGACATGTGATGGAATTTTCATATTAAAGCTCTAATTCAGTGGTTCTCAACCTTGGCTGTACATTAGAATCACCTGGGAATCTTTTTTTTTCTTAATTTTGTTTTATTGCTTAAAGTATTACAAAGAGTATTACATATGTCTCCCCCTCCCCCTTGACATTCCCCCGGCCTCCCCCCCCCCCCACTTATGTCCATTGGTTATGCTTATATGCATGCATACAAGTCCTTTGGTTGATCTCTTACCCCTCCACTCCCGCCCCCCAACCCTCCCTGGCCTTCCCGCTGTAGTTTGACAGTCTGTTTGATGCTGCTCTGCCTCTGTATCTATTTTTGTTCATCAGTTTATAATGGTCTTTATTATCCATAAATGAG